CTTGTGAAGCCTGAGCATTATCAAAACCACTACGACATCATTCATAACAATATTTCAGAATGTCTGGACATCAAAATTAGTTGTTAAAGAATGCAGCCTGCCGCTCAGCTGATGATAATAAATGGGGTGGCAGTGTTAGTGTCAGCGAAATGACCGATGACCGGCGCTTGGTCCTTGCTTTGGTTTTGGTGAGTGATGATTGATGAGTTTATGCATTGTAATCAGATCGCAGACATCTGCAGCATCCTCCGCTCCGCGCAGCACAAAAAAAAAAAAAATGCATCATATCTAAAAGCCTCTGACACACCGACCATGGCTTTGATTCATCTCGAGCAGCGCTCTTAGTACAGTACAATTAAGGTGCGATGACGTTCACAATGCTCAACAACTCAGTATCCTCCTCATATACCGCCACATCCATTTCTATTTCTGTGCCTGTATAATAAATACATGGAGCATCGCTCACTTCAGCTGACAGGAACAATATAAGGTCACCAAATGAAACCATTCCCTCTATACAGTGATATAGGAGACAATTTACCAGAGCTCCATCCATCACACCACGACAACTCATTCATATGTTGGCGTAACACATATACACTATATTCCTCCAATAACAGCGCCGAATCACTAAGTCTGAATACGATTACGTGGAAGGCTGTTTATAAGTATGACAGCTCACCAACACAAAAATATCAGCTATTTTAAACAAAAACACAAATATTTCTTTGGAAATCAGAGACTTTTAGTGTTTAAACTAGATGGCTACTTTGCACTTGAGAAACAAGGCACTTTTTATATTTTTTTCCCATTTCATTGAGGGAAGTGTTACTCTAGCAACACTTTTATTTATTATTGCAATTAAATTATATTTTATTATATGCAATTTATTAACACTATAACATTGAGCAATAATTCAATTTAAAATATATGAATATTTATTATATTTAATTTAGCGTGAGATGGCACAATGCAGTTTATTAACACTATAACAATTTTAAATAAAAATATTTACACTAAAACACATTCTTGTGAAGTTTAAAATCTTAAAAAATTAGCCTTTTTGGTTAAACAGACTCATACTATAGACTTTCCTTTGTGATTGTGAGTTGGTCAAGAGCACTTAAAAACAGTCAATTGAGCATCTTCTGAATCATTTGACCTCTAAGCATGGGATCTTGGGAGCACTGCAGGATGAAAACGCAGACTCCCCGTTCTGTGATCTGGACATGACAGGGAGGTCCTGACTCGCAGCGGGATGCTCAGGTCTGGTCTAGAGTTGGCCGTGTGGAACCGGACAGACTGCCTGGCCAAACTCCCAATCCCAAGTCAACGCCCCAGATGCACTAATTAAAAGCCTCCTCGCTGATGCAGGAGGCCGTGCAGCCATTCTGCTTTATGGCCACTGCCAAGTTGGATGATGTGCCAATACCCAATGGAGCACATAAGGTGGGAATTGAGTTCCCATGAGCTGATGGTCTGATGAGCTGTAAATCATTACTGGGTGAGGATAGTTTGATAAGCATATGGGTAACATGGAGTACGACTTTAAAATTAGCACGTAAAGCCTCCTTAAATTTTGAATTGGTTTTGTTTTATTTGTCTTTGAGTATATAAATGTATCTAAAAATCATTGAAACAACATCCATTTTCTTTCATTTCATTTTTAAGTATGATCAACTTTACAAGTCATTTAAACTTCAACAACTTTAACACACAGACTTGTGTGCACCTAATGTATGACTCTTGTATGGCACTGTAGTTGTTTTTACCTTCATTACAATAGTCATCCAACAAAACTTTACTAATATGACACTGTTTTGCTTTATTCAACCAAGTTTGTGTATCATATGCTCATGCAGCAGTAGCAATTCAAAATCTTTTTTTTTTTTAAGATATTACTATTTTTACTTAGCAAGGATGCAATAAATTATTCAAAACTAAAAGTAAATACATTTATAATGTGACAAAGGACTTATATTTCAGATGAATGTTATTCTTGTGAAATGAATTATAGAATTATGAACAAAATGTTTCTTAAAATGTTTTTTAAGAAAAATGCAGCAATGATTTCTGAAGGATCACATTACACTGAAGACTGGAGTAATGATGCTGAAAATTCAGCTTTAATCACAGGAATAAATTATATTTTTAAATATATTCAAATATAAAACAGTTGTTGTAAACTGTTATATTACTTTACAATATTAAAGGGATAGTTCACCCAAAAATGAAAGATGTAGGTGATTTTGTTTCTTCAGTAGAACACAAACGAAGATATGTCTGAACTGTCCGAACTGTCCTGAGCGCATCCTCGACAGCCGGCACGTGACGTGTCTTCTTCTTCTTCTTGACTGGCCGCTAGAGGCTGGCTCCAAAAGGGAGTCAGTCCCATAGACACTACGTCCATGTTTTTATACAGTCTATGCTCAGGACACGCTCAGGACAGTTAGGACATTGCGTGAATCAGAGGTTAAAAATTATATAAATACTTTTAGTTTAGTTTCTTGCACAGACCGATCATTTCGTGTTTTTACACATCAATGTATCGTCACGGGCCGCAGGGTTTAATTTGGTTTTCTGTATTTTTAATCAAATAAATGCAGCCTTGGTGAGTATAAAAGGCATATTTCAAAAACATAAGTCACCAACCCCAAACTGTAGTGTATATAATAATAATAATAATAATAATAATAATAATAATTAGTTGTTGTTGTTGTTGTCATTTCTTATTTTGTTATTATTTTTTAACCAGTTCACAAAAGTTTTTTTTTATTTTAAGTTTTAGATACAATCTATAAAACCAAGTCTCAATATATTATGCTGTAAATTTATGTTGCAATTTTTTAGAATTTAAAAAAAGATATATTTGCTAAGAATTTATTTTTTCTTTCACAGTTTGGGTTTACACAGACATTACACACTTAACCTTTATTAACAAGATCCATTAATCAATCAATCAATCAATCAATCAATCAATCAATCAATTAATAAATAAGAAAAAAAAAAAACACAGACCAGCACTGACATAATTTGATCACTACAGTACATCGTAATTGAATACTAGCAGTTTCCAGCAATGCCTAAGAATGTTTCCAGACTATACACTATTACAATATTTACCTAAAGGAACAGAATATCCATTTACAAATCCTGAACGGCCATCAATTAAACATGGAAATACACCCGCAGGCCTCTGAAGTTTCAAATGAGTCCAGAATGACGCCAGAAATCTATATGTGTTTTGTCTTGGCTTTCCTAATTAAAATCCCATTCAGTCACATTAATTATGAAGACATACATTTATTAATGAAAGCTTTGGATAAAATGCTTTGTGTTAATGATTTACAGACATGCTCTCTTTGACTGTGTGTTATATTCAATCTGAGCGCTGAATGTCATGCAAGCGTGCATTAAGGTATCATGACCTTTAACGGATCTAAAATTGGAGGCTTGTATGCTTGTACCATGATTTACTCGAACATAAAAGGATATTTGAAGACATACCATATACATTATATGTGACGTACTATAAAATTGATGCTTAACTCACACTTACAATGTCTGAATGTCACTGCTTTAGATAATAAAATATCAAACCATGTGACATTTATGTTAAAGAAAGATAGCAGAAGAACACTTTAAAATGCAAAACATTTCAAAATGTCTAGAGATAGATGGAGATAAAAAAAAAATCAATAAATAAAAATGTGGCATTATAGATGTTATATTCCATTTATAACCGGATCGGAACTAGTTTCATTTAAAAAATGGTCCCATAGCTGAACACCTAAATTAAATGTGAATAAATAAATAAAAAATAGTAAATATAAAATATAAAATATAATAATGCTTTGAGTTTGTTTGAATTGAAATGAACTCCACTGAAAATTTAAATGTTAATCTGAACAGGGAAATATTCAACAAAGGTGATATATCTGCTTCTAAGACCATCATCAAAAATAAAGACATGAACTTCAGCCAAAACAGTCCATAAGATATAAGGGATATTGAAAGGAACAAGTTAATGTCACTATATGGTTCTCCAGACACCCAAAGTCACTGAGCTGTTTCCAGCTGTGAAGAAGCCATCTGCTCTGCTCTCGTTCATTTTAATTAGCAGCAGTCATGTTTTTATCACAGTGTTCCTGCATTGAGCCTCAACACGGGTTACAACAAACAGGTCTTACAAACGTTGAACCCTCTAGACAAATAGAGATTAACATTTCACTATTTTTTGTAATATCTTGTTTTGGTTTCTGTGAGGGGAAATCTTGAAAAATTCATGATGGTGCGCTGTCAGGCTTGTAGGAATAACTGCCGGAGGAACACTACAGAAACAGCCTGGTTTTCATGATAAAAAACACTTTTTGAATGTACAAGGTACATTACACAATACCCAAATTACACTAAAATCAGAAAGTAATTAGTTCTGTAATAGAGACTGTGTGTTTTAAAGGCGGATTTTGCTCTTGTTGAAGGAAATAATCTTATAATCCAGCTCAACACTAAACAGCTTGCAATTATTACTAATTATGTCTTATTAATAATAAGGTCAACCTTATTGCTCTTCTAATAGAAATTGTAAAATTTGAAAGAAATGCAAATGCAATTCATAGGCATAATTTTTGGGCAAAAAATATAAAATATTACAATACAAAATGCAAATAAAATATTTCATCTTACTAGGAAAGTATTTTCTTTTTTCAATTTTATTTTATTTATTTATTTATTTAATTAATTTATTCTATTTTCATGAAAATCACATTCCCCAGTTGACAATGTAAACTTCATGTTCAAAATACAAATGTCTCATTAATATGAATATAACGAGTTTATTTCTGTTAAATGATTCATTCTTGTTATTTGTAATTAAAGTAAGAAATAATCAAATGAATTAGATCAGCACTTGTTGATTCAATGAGACTGAGGCGCTTCATATCAACAACTCTCTTTGGTGAGTCACTGCGCATGCTCAGCACTGCGGCGGGAAGTTCGGGAACACGTCACGCAATGGAGTTTTGTGAGCGGTTTGAACTGCTGCGTCTAATCGTTCTTCATCCTTGATATTGAGGGTAAGTACTTGTTATGTACCTGTTTGTAATTAGTACCGTTGATTATAGATGAAATATTAGTTATTAGACACTGTGGCGATGTTTCTAGACTTATTTTCCCAGACTTGAAGCACGTGTTGGGTTCAATTCCGTGTCTTTGTCGGTAAGAGTTTCACCTTAACGTTAATATATCCGCTACAATAGGTGCATTTCTGTCACAATTCAATGCTAGCTATGCCTAACTATTAACTACATAACCTACGTTAAACCTGAACTCTACATTACCCCAACAATGGGATGGGAAAACGGGAGATAAAGTGAATGCAGAGTCGATAAAGCAATTTGCACTTCTCATCGCTCTTTTCAGTCTAGCTAACCTTTATAGGGCTTTTTTTTTTATGTTTTGTTTAGTGTGCCAACAGATGGACTGTTGTTGTTATTAGCCAAATTAACTAACGTTGGCATGGCCCTTCGTATGTGTATATCAGCAAAATATTACTTTAAACGTTCTATAACCTTTTCAAACATAGTTTCAAAATGCCACATAATGCTACCCAGCTTATTGAATACAGTATGCAAAAATTGTCAAGTAAAATCTATGATGCAGTCGACCATATATTTTAAATGTCCTTACAAATTGCAGTTAAAGTTATGATTGAATAGGTATGCATGGTTTTATTCAGGGATTACTTTCTTTTTTTTTTTTATGTTTTGTTTAGTGTGCCAACAGATGGACTGTTGTTGTTATTAGCCAAATTAACTAACGTTGGCATGGCCCTTCGTATGTGTATATCAGCAAAATATTACTTTAAACGTTCTATAACCTTTTCAAACATAGTTTCAAAATGCCACATAATGCTACCCAGCTTATTGAATACAGTATGCATAAATTGTCAAGTAAAATCTATGATGCAGTCGACCATATATTTGAAATGTCCTTACAAATTGCAGTTAAAGTTATGATTGAATAGGTATGCATGGTTTTATTCAGGGATTATAGTTATAAATATAAGTAAAACTCTTGATATTTAGTAACAGCAGCCAGTAGTGGTGATTTTCTTTGGCCCAGTTTTTAAAGTCAGTCTTTGAAATGAGGAGAATACTGCTTGTTGTGTTTTTCTGTTTTCTGGCCTTAGCATACACATTAGAGTAAATTTGTTGCAGTTTTGCAGGTTAACTTTTATACATTTATTTTTCACAGCGGAAATTTTCCTTTTTTTCCGTACAAAAAAAAAGAAAAGAAAAGAAAAAGGCTACATCACAATGTAAAGCTGTCCCCATGCTCTTCTGCTGTGAACCTCACCTTTATTTCATGGTAAGTAGTTTTTCTTAACACTCACATACAGTAAGTAATGTATAACTAACTATCCTTGATTACTGAACTTTCCTTTTCTTTCTCGTTCTTTCTCTTTCAGTGACGTGTATGTGGCAGTGCAGGCAGTGTGTTGCAAAGGAGAGTTGTAGGTAAAAATTACTTAAGCATTATAAACTAAAACTTGTTTTGGAAGCGGCAATCATTATGTTTGTGTATATTTAAATTGTCCATGCACATTTAAGACATGAGCAGGACTTAAAACTCACGTCAGCTCTTATACTTTTAATCAAAAAACAGAGTAGACCATATTTAGATGGCTGTGTACATCATGTCGTCTTAACTCTCTCATTGCTGATAGAAAAAAATGTTAAAACGGCTTTTTTTAATTTTCATCCTTCTGTTATGATGAGAGTTAATAAATGCATTGTCAATGTTTTTCAGATTGATAGGGAGTTCTTGCGGACTGAAAAATCCGTCCCGCGCAGGTCTCTTAACTGATGGTACACAATGACAAAGTACTTATGTGAATTGGTTGACGCACTAAACCAATTAATTTTTTATTCATATTGGTTGAGCTCTCTTGGGGCCTAATTTACAAAACTGTGTAAACCCATACTAAAGATTTAAATTGATCTGAAAGGCAGAAGAGGCATGCCACAAAAAATAAATAAATAAATGGCATCAGAAAACTGTACATGCATGCTTTTGTTTTATTGCAGTGCATTATATTCTAAGATGGTTCTAATGTTTTAGCCACCTCATTCATTTTAAATATGGTGGCCAAATAAAATTATAACAATCTTATAATATAATGCACTGCAATAACACTCCAGCTGGGTGCTGACCTCAGTAATAAACATATAGAATTATCACCTTTCTGACAGTTTCAACTTAAAAACTGAGAAATTATAACCTTGTAAATGTAGAATTCACAGCAGAGCTCCTGTATTGAATTGAAGTTTACTTTACAGATGTACCTTATAAAGTGGCCAGTGAGTGTATAAGTGTGCAATTCTTGTAATAAGTATTTGAGCTCATTTTTGTTTATGGTCTTTCATGTATTTCGTCCCACAGGATTCAGACATTGAGTCATAAAGTACCATGGAGCAAACTGTGATGGGAGTGTATGTCATACTGAAGGAGGGAGTGCTGCCTGACGATGACCCACAGGGCATTGGTGTCCTAATTGGAGGTGTGGAAGTCCTCAGTGACTTGAGTAGCATTGCACAGGCTTGTGCTCTGTTATTTGGACTGATATACTGTTTGAACCTGAGCTACCCACTAGAGCTCAAATGCACCTTTGAAGTCTTGCAGAAGATCTTTCTAAATCTAAATGGACAGAGGTTGTCATCCAAGGCACAGTTCCTCAAAAACAAGCTTTTGGAGTAAGTGAGCTTGTTTTACCAAAGGGACAACTGACTGAAGCAGTTGTTACACACTTACAAATATTTTCTGGGAGTGATTTTCTTATTTTCAGATGTGAAGCAACATAGCTACACTGGTAATTTAGAATTATCAAAATTTTCATGTGAAATCACCACAGCAAGGCTTCATTTTTAAGAAGTTTTAAGACCAAATGGGCATTAAAGTCCTATAAGCGTTGCTTGGGGATCGGTTTTCTCATGAGCCAAGATTTTGTTGGCTAAATGTTTCTTATACGTTGTGTAACAAACACTCAAATGGATAAGATACTTAAAGTGAAGAAAGCAGTTTAAACTTAATTGGTGCATGTTAAAGCCTAATGAAAAAAATAAAACATTTAAATTGTTTGCATGTTTTCTGTGCTTTTTTTTGTAGATTACTGAACTTTTGGTAATGTCTTGCTTCTTAGTGCTGTCATCTAAAACAAATCTAATTGAAACAACATAGATATTCATTAAACTACCAAAACCATACATGAACAAGACATTAACTAGTTGATGTAACAAGGCAGAATTTTGTTGAATTGAAGTGCTTTACCGACATTGAGTGAATAAGAATAAATTTGATTAGACTAACACAATACAAACATTTTGATTCAATTAGTTGCAAAGAAGTTACATTGACATCAAAATCATGTTTAATCTACAAATGTATATTGTTCATATATTCAAAGCAGTCCAAGTTTACTTGATTTGATTAGATGCATAATGGGTGCTACGATTAAATCACGTTCATTCAACAATTTGTTTTTTTGAGTGTGTATATTAATGTATATATTAAAAAAACATGAAACTTAATGGACCTAACAGTGGGCCATGTTATTTAAATTTTGAAATTATTTTATTTGAAATGGTTTATCTTGTGTCTCTCAATGTTTAAATGAATGAAGGTGGTCTTAACCTGGACACAAGGTCTAATTAACTAACATAAGCAACAAGAACTCGGGCATCAAATAATTTAGTTGGCAGATCTCTACTGCCATATTTCCACAGTCCCCTTGTTTGAATAACAGGGCAGCATGTGAAAGCCTTGTGTCTCTCAAGAGGCGTCTGTCTGTAGTCTGGTCCACTTTCTGTGTTCATCTGATAACCAAGACAGAATCTGTGCCAGTATCCTTCCCTGTGGCTACTGCTCTGTCACGAGTTGAGCCGGTCTGGGCCCCCAAAACACAGGAAGGAAGCCAGTCCACTTGAGTCCAGCTACGGCCGGCAGCCAAGGTGCTGCTTATCAGTGCTGCAGGATTCAGGCCTGGGAGTCTGCGGCCTCTCGCCGGCCTTCCCTTCGCTTCAGTCTCTGAAGTCCCACCGACAGCATGAAAAATACGGCCTGTCAGTCAAGAACCTCTTTATCTAGAGCCAGATGCCAGAAACTGGAGAAACGAGAGCATGAGGGACCATAGATGTGCTTTAGAAGTGATAAAGCGCCGCTGACCCGCCTGTGTTGGGTAACTAGTCTCACTTTCTCAGTCTGGCATGCTGTAATCTGATTGTTTGTTGGTGAGCAAGAGTGCACAGGTGTTGATCGGTCCATCTGGAAACGAAACCGTGTTTACAAGCCACTGGGCTGATATAGTGAGTGCCTTCTAGGAATAAATAACCCCTCAATTTGCCAATGTTGCCATGTTGAAACCATCGAATCATCAGAAAATCTTAATATAGCGAGATAAAACTAGTGAGCTACCCTCCAAGTTACCATGTTTTGGCCAAAGTACAGTACAGCAGTATAACATGAGAAGGCAATAGCAGAATGCACTGCAATCCAAAAAAAAAAAATGTTGATTATAAATAGATTTTATTCAATACCAAAGGCTATAGATAAAGTATGGTGCAGTCTAATAGAACTATTAGCCCCAAACTCTCTCTCTCTCTCTCTCATATACAGTGGGTACGGAAAGTATTCAGACCCCCTTAAATGTTTCACTCTTTGTTATATTGCAGCCATTTGCTAAAATAATTTAAGTTAATTTTTTTTATTCTACCAGCTGCATTTATCTATCTATCTATCTATCTATCTATCTATCTAATTAATCTATCTATCTATCTATCTATCTATCTATCTATCTATCTATCTACAGACTTACAGGGAACCTCATGACGGTGGTGCATGTAAGGTAACGTGAAATATTAATAAAATAAAATGTCAGTCTGCAGTGATTAGACATAAGTTCATTCTCATTCTCATTACGTGAGCAGTGAGATCCCAGGCTTCATTCTTACTAAGAGGCATCACCCTAGTTCAGTAGCAAGTCAAATACTCCTCTGATTGCAAACATATGAAGCTTCTACTTATATAGATTCATGCACTTGCTTACAGAACCTTAACTACTTCAAATTGTGCATGTCAAACTACGCCGTGCAGTATGCCAAACTACAGTGTGAAACTATCTTCCTGAACACTGGCAGGAGTGTTGCAGTGGAGAGTCGAGGAGGACAGAGCGCTCCAGGCTTTGCTGCTCTGGCAGTAGTTATTTTCTGGGCAGAAAAGACAAGTGTAACTGAATCCAGAACGGTCTGTATTCCCAGATTTTCTTGGGAGCCACAGCTCACTCTCCCATGCATCGAAATCAACAAAAAGTTTATTTCCAAGTGAAACAGTAGCCTCCAAAAACTCCTGATAGATGTCCTTCACACCAGTTATCACTCGCTACGACGCATCAAACCTTCAGAAAGAGGCTAATTGATCGTGAATTATGACTCTGTGCATACTCCTACTGAGAATTAAACGATCAATACACTCTCTGGTAATACGAGGACAACGTTCCCTGTCTTTATGTACAGCTCTGTACACTGGGGCTAAGAAAGAAGATATTGCATCGATTTCAAGGCTGCATATTAACAACACACCCACATTAGGGCTTTTTTTTAAATGTCAACATTGTGGTAGAGAGTTCTGCACTGGCAAAATGTATAACGATTCAATGGACAGTGGTGTCTTTTATCATATTGTTAGTGTTGCTGTTTAATAAAAGCAACTGAGAGACCTACATCACAACGATTTTACCATGGTTTGACCACATTTTTTAAGCATTCTGATTGATGTTGTGCCTAACAACATCCCTAAAGGATCCCAGAAGTATATTTTTCATTCATTTATTTTTTCCCACAGGGATTTTTAAGTCTTTATTAAAGCATCATAAGCCATGAACCAAACCAACCAGCTACAAAGTGAAGCACAACAAAACTCTGACAATCTTTAATCTGAAGGAAAAAAGAAAATTAAAATTTGCCATACTGTGATGTTTTGGCTTCACTTTTCTATAGTAGATGGAAGTGGAGATGCGCCATCCTTTTTTTTTTTTTACAGTCTATGATTCTACCTATAAAAACGATATTTTTAAAATTATATTTTAAATTGATTGCCAAATATGCATGTGTATACAAATATTTATGTAATATTATAGCGTAGGGAGGCCAACTCGATTACGTCATTCTCAGTGCTTCATGAGAGTGGCCAGAGCTTTGGTGCATTTTGCTCACTGCAACTCTCTGCACAGCATCATGGGTTATACAGTTTTCCAGCACAAATGAAGCTATTAAACTTGATTAAAGTTGAATTAATGTAAACAGATGGCTTCAACAAAAGCATATACCATCAATTAACAACCTCGGAGATCAAAAGAAATCTGTTTTTTAAAGGTTTATCAGTTATTGATTAAAATCAATTTCCCTATGGATAAAATCATTCATTGGCATACATTTCTAGAACAAAAATCTGAATTCTGGATAAAACCAGGTTCAATATTTTTGTTTCATTTTTGTTTTTTTATCACTTCATAAATCAGAAAATACTGTCAACAGCCAGGGAAAAAAATACACCCTTTTTAGTAATAAAATGTTAAATATACTTTCAAACGTTTAGAATATAGATAGGAATAAAAGATTGGTGTATGAAAATGCTGCTGAAATTGAGATTTCTGACTTAGTGCAGGAGAAGAAACTCACAGCCACTCACAGCCACAAGATGTGTATTGTAGTTAAAATCTACAGATGTGCAAAAAAAAAAAAAACACTTTAAAGTGCATTTTAGGTGCTTTAGGAATTT